CAGTGAGGGTGCTGAGAACACAAGCAACCTGGCCACCAGCCTGGCTGTGTGATGGCTCCCAACACCTGGCCCAGTGACAGCGGCGATCACATCCTGTCCACACACTCACAGACCAGTCACCAGGCTGAGTGCCTGGCTATAAAACTAGTCCCAACCAACTTAAAAGGGAAACCACTAGAATCAGAGTTGGGGAGATTGTGTAAACACACAAACACATGGAAGCAAAACAGCCCAGTTCAAAATGACCCCTTTTGTCAAAGATTCCACAAGGACAATGACAAGGTGTTTGGAACTGAATGAAAACAAAAGCACATCATAACAAGTCAATAAATACACAAGTCAGGCAATTTCCAAAAGCGAGAGGGGCCATGGAGAAAACAGTGTGAAACAGAGCACGTGGAAGGGGGAGGCACAGCTGCATCTCTCCCCTTCCCTGGTCCCTGCCCCTAGCTGCTGGGTCTGGCCATGGCCCTTGCTATGGCTGATGGGATATCAGGAGAAATAGTGGGGTGCCAGGTGTAAGCTTGACTCTTGGAAGCCCTCTAATGTTTTTATTTGTTTTGCCACTGCTATGGGAAGAGCTTTTCTGGGTACCTGCTGCCCCTTCAGCCTGGGCCCCTGAGATGAACACACAGGAAGCAGAGCTACTAAGTCCAACTCAGCTTTGAACAGCTGATGCTCAGTCGAGCCAGCTTCCCCTGGAGCTAGGAGTGTCCGACGAGAAGTTGTTATCAAGCAAAGCTAGCTCAGCTGGGAGACGTAAACTTTTACTTTTCCACCTTCCTCTCTCTGACTGGGACATGGACGTGATATTTAGAACTACAGCAGCCCTCTGTGTCCATGAGGAATCCTAGAAATGGATGCAGCAGAAGACAGAACTTTGGTTTCTGAGACTTTGTGGAGCTGCCAAATTTGACCTGGATCTCCTACTTCTGGATTTATTTCACATGCGAGAACAAACCCCAAATGATTTAAGAGCTCATAACTGGGTTTTTGTTACTAGAAGTCAGACAATTCCTAAGTGACAGAGCATAATTAGAAAAGGCTCTGTAGGGTGACTGTTTTCCAAAAATGAGCTTAACACTACTCATATGATATTTGTGCATGTGAGCTCAATGCTCCTCCCACTGAGGGACAGAGGCAATGTCCCCTCTCCTTGAACCTGGGTGGACCTCTGGGACAGTCTGGACAGAGGATGGTGGAAGTGCTGCTATGTGACTTCCAACCCTAGATCATAAAAATGCCACACACTTCCTCCTGGTTCTCTCCTGGGACAATCAATGCTGGCACCCAGCCACTGTGCTGCGAGGAAGCCCAGATCTGCCCATGCACAGAGACTGCAGGGGGAGGCAGCAGCCGGCATGGAGCACCAGATGTGTGAGTGACGGCACCCATATGTGCTCACAGCTCCTGACACCAGGTTGCCCCTGGTCTCTGAGTCTTCCAAGTGAGGCCCCAGACATCACAGACAGAGCCCAGCTGCCTCCACCCTGCCCTGCCCAAGTTCCTGGTGCAGAGGACCTGTGGATGTGGTCACATCACCGAGTTCTGGGGCACCGTATGTTCAAGGAGGTGACAACTGAGAAGAAACTGGCAGTGAGAGCTGGAGGCGCTGTGAACAAGGAGCACATGCAGAGACCGTGAGACACGTGTGGCTTCTGAACAGGGCGTCAAGGCCTTCACCCAGAGGAGGGATGACCCTCTTCTACCTCCCTCTGCTGGGAGGATTTTCAGATGAAAAAAAAAAAGGAGAAATGAAGGTGAGCAGGGCCAGGGAGGAACTCCAGGGAAAGTGAAGTGTGAGCCCTTAGCTGGCATGTGGGCACTTCTCAAGTCTGTCCTGACCTGATTCATGGGCTCTTTGCTTGAGCCCTGGCTCAGCCTCCTGCTTACCTTTTGAAAATGTCCACGTTTAACTACACATGATGGTTCACTGCCCCCACACACCGCACCACCTCCTGGCCTCTGCACATTTGCCCACACCTACCACCCTGCCCTGCCTTCTGTGCCCTTGTCTACCCTGGCTCTGGTGAACTCCCCTGGTGTCTGTCTCAATGTGCCTTTTCTACAAACCTTCCTGGATTCCCAAAGCAGACGAAGTCTCTTGTTCCCCAAACCCCTGTAGATTCTGCACAAAACTACAGTTGTGTGGGGTGTATTTACACAGAGTATCATAAGTAAGTTTCCTTCCACCCCCATCTTCTTTCCTTGCATAAAAGAGAGACTTACTCAAGGGTGAGTTCTGAGTCTTATTAATCTTTGGGGCCCCAAGGCCTGTCTCAGTAGAAATAGTGGCAACATAGCCTGCAACATTTCCAGAGTGAATAAGTAAGATGGATGGATGGCGGATGGATGGATGGATGGATGATGGGTGACTGGACAGAGGAGTGGACAGATGGCATATGGATGGATGGCAGATGGATGGATGGGTGGATGGGTGGGTGGCAGATGGATGAATGCTTGGATGGGTGGATACTTGATGGGAGACGGATAAATGGATGAGTCTAGTGGTTATGTGGGTGGTTGGGCAGACATCTAAGTAGTGGCTAAACTGGGCAATGAAAGGGTACATAGATGTGTCATTTGGTGTGTGGATAGATGCAAGGACAGTTGAGTGGGTGAAGAGCTGGCTAGATGGATGGGAGATTGACAGGCATGTGGATGAATGCTTCATGACTGGGTTCCTGCAAGGACAGGAAACCTTTAAGCCAGAAGTCAGAAAATGCTTTTGCTAGGACCCAGAGAATACAGACTTTAGGCTTTCATGGACCACATGTTATGTTTCTTTGCCCTTTTCCACAATGTTCAAAAATACAAAACCATTCCTAGTCAATCAACTTAGGAAAACAGACCTGGACCATTACAAATCAATTTTTGTAATGATTCTGGACCAGAATCTGTAGCCGTCTCCAAGTGAGCTCTAGCTACCACTTGACAGGCACAGGGCTGACTCTAATCATGAAAGCCAGACGCCACAGCCCCTCCCTCGCAACAGAGCCATGGTGCCCATCACCTTCCTGCCAAGGGACAGAAGGCTGGCAAAAAACTTGCCAATCTCATCAGCCAGGGCTGGATCCGAGGTAGGGGGCTGGAGAATGTCCTAAAGTCTCTGGGTCTCCTTTAAGCCTGGCATCTCTGGTGAGGACTTGGAGTCACATGGAGGGATTTCTGCCACAGCTGTTCTAATTGCAATAGGTGTTGACGTGATAAATACAGCTCGGCAGCACAGTTTCCCGCAACTGGCTTATGAATTGTGGCTTTTACAGGCTCTTGCTCTCTTTCCCCTCCTCAGAATATTGTTATGGATCACTGTGGCTTTAGCGACTTTCCAACGGGTAGGAAGCAGTGTTAAGTACAGCTGGAAGTTTCCTGGTTAAAATCCTCTTACCAGAGTCATAAAACAAAGAGCCCAGGCCTGTCAGCTGCAGCCCAGGAGCAAGAAAGAGAAGCAAACGCACAGACGTCACCGCGCAGATCTCTCAGATATGAAGGGAGAGGGGCTGCAACAGAGCTCTGGGGTTTAGTACTGCATGCAGAGCTCTCTTCCAGAAGGGGCCTGGCCATCCCAGGCCAGAGGAGTGCTCTGTCCTCTACTGGGGACCCAGCTGCCCTCAGCTCACATGGGGACATGATACCAGCACGATGCTGAAGCTGTGGGGGTCCTGGGCCCCAGGAGACGATGTCCTGAGGGTGAGTCACACATGAGAACAATGAGACCTGCACGTTTGTCCTGGCTCAGTCACTGTGTGACACAGGCCAAGTCACCTCCTCTGAGCCTCCATATCACCACATACCAATACCCACGGTAGACGATTGTGGCTCTGACGTTCTATGAGACAGTGAACAATGCAGAGCAGTACAGAAGCCAAGCCTAAGCTGGGGAGAGGCTGCGAATGGTGCACACGGCTCAGAGGAGCAGGGAGCCTTCAGAGGGCAGGGGGAGCAGCGAGCCCACCGCGTTCCCCCTACTTGCCATGTCTTTGCTGTGCCCTCTTCCCACACCCTCCTGGTGACCTTAGTCTAGACTACAGGCACCTCCTCAGGGAAGACTGCCAAGATCCCCCATGGCTATTGGTCACTCCCTCTATGCTTTCAATAATTCTTCATCCCTAATCTGTCCCTTCTGCTGGCCAGACAGCTTCTGGGGGAGGAGCCTAGTGCACTCTGTCTTTCCATTCTCCAGCTCCTTGTAGGTTTTTTGAGACAGAGTCTCCCTACGTAGGCTTGAACTCACAATCTTACTGCCTCCGTTTCCTGAGTGCTGAGAGCATAGATACGCCCAGATTTTATGCAGCAAGAGTTAAAACAAACAAAAAAACAAGTTGAACTGGACCCAGGTGACTTCTCGGGAGAGTCTGTAGCTGGTCTCGTGAAGCAAGAAGGCTGGCAGGGCCTAATACCTGGGTGGTCCCCAAGCCTGGCTTCCTTTCCTCTGTGTGCAGAGGGCCCCCTTACCAGCAGCCCAGGCATTACTGTCCCTAGCTCCAGGATGAAGGAGAAAGCCCAAATCCCTGAGCTGCTCTGTCATTCTACAGACACATCACCTCCTCCATAAGGACATGAGCATATGACACACCCGTGAGGTAGGGGGGCACAGCTCAGGGCACAGAACGCTTGCGTGGCATGCATACAGCCCTGGTTCCATCCTCAGGACTGAATCCCCCCTCCCCACGCACACATGTAGAAACTCACACCCACAGTGATGCTTGGAACACCCCATCTGTCCTCCTCCCCTCTTCAACAAGAGGGTCAAAGAACCACAGAACCCTCAGCCCGTGCCCCCACCCACCCCAGGCAGGGAGGTGCACGGTTGAGCACCACGCTCTGGGCCCTGAAACACATCCATCAGTAGACAGACTTCCCTGAAAAGCTGGCAGAGTGCCCACAGCCTGGAGTCCTGTTGATGGAAACCACCTCTGTCTGCGTGTTCATTTTTGCCTCTTATATCACAGCCTTGTAAAAGGGCAATTAGTTTGGGACAATTAAAGTGATGAACTCACCAGGCATAAGTGCTGCAGCGTCTGCACAAATCTGCGGAGGGAGAGAGGGTTGAGGCTGCGTTAACTCCCATCCTGGAGAAGCCAGGAGGGGCGAGGTTTTATTTACGATAAGCTCAAGGCTGGAGGCAGATGCACAGGGACTCACGCTTTCTCCGAAGACAGCAGCTCCTGTGCGATGACAAGGGCTCTGGACTGTCCCTCCACCTGTCGAGGAAACAGAGCAATCAGCGACGGCAGGCAGCAGCAACCGGGGCTGCAGAAGGGAGACTCCAGTAGGGGCCACCATGCTGTCCAAGGTGAGGTCTGAGTGTTCCTCAGTCATTGCCTACCATTCAAGACCTGTGTAATTTTCAGCAAGCAGCTTGCCCTTGACGCCCTGTTTCCTCACCTGTCCATGTGGTAGTGAAGAGCATCTGACTCAGAAAAGTGTTGAACAGATGCCTGACACACAGTAAGTGTTCAGTAAATGGCCTTATCAAGATGACATGACCTTGGCCTCCCCGACCCACCTATCCAGAACAACGTGATCTTCATACTAGGTAGTTCTCTCTTGTCTTGCTTTTACACATTCTATTCCCTTAGTGGCCTTTCCCCATCCTCCTCCTCTCATTTTCTGAGATTTTAGCCACAGCAGCTAGGTGTGGTGGTGCACACCTGTAATCCCAGTACTCAGGAGGTAGAGGCAGGAGGATCATAAGTTTGAGGCTATTCTGAGCTATATAGTGATTTCCAGGCCAGGCTAGGATACATGGAAAGGCTGTCTACTTTCTGAGCAGCCTCCTCTCATGACATAATTGTCACCGTGAAGCAATTATGTCCCCCCTGGAAGGCAGGGTGCACAAATCTCACCTCTGCATGGCCAGTGCTTGGTGTATAGCAGCTCCCCTTTGTGAGTAAAAGAGCGAGTGAGGAAGTGAACAAGAGAACAAGTGCTCACTCCACTTGGGAAGTGAGCCAGCCCAGAAGGCAAGTTGCTTAACCCACGTGAGCCCCCATTTCTGCATCTGCACTGAGATTGCATCCATTCCCAGGACTGCACCTGCTGATGGCGGGGGACACCAGCAGGCTCCTCCTCGTGGCCCCAGGCTGCCAGACACCTGACATAGCTGGTGGCTGGAGTCCAGACGTGGAAGACTGGCAAAACAGATGCAGATCTGTACCCACCTCTACCTCCCACTTGGATAACACCTGGCACACGGTAAGCACTTCAGAGATACAGCCATGATTGATAAAGCCATGAACAAAATCTTGGTTGATTTTGTTGCTCAGGTGGTCCCAGGAACAGAACCAAGTCTTTCCAAATGAAACCTGGGGGAGGATAACCAACCCAGTCCCATGGACCCTTGTCTTCTCGGTGGCGTACTCCTGACGCGGGGCCATTCTGACAATGCTTTTCCCCACATCTCATTCTTGCTCTTTTTCAGGTCTCTGCTCAGAAGTCACACCTTCAATGTGCCATCCGTGACCAGCCAACCTAAAGAACACCCCAGGCAGGGGTTTGCAGCCTTGACTACTGACATTTGGAGAATAGTTTTTGCTGCAGGTGCTACTGTACGTATTGCAAAATAATTGATATCCATGACTTCTATCCACTGCATGACAGTAGCTGCCACAACCTCAGCCGTAACAACCCAAAATATCTCCAGACTTTGCCCAAAGTCCTGGATGGGCAGTCTCAGATCCACTGCCCTACATTTGATCTTACTGTGGTTTCCACTGGAGTGGTCACAGCCCCTCACCTTATGCAGCAGGCACTCACTCACACACATCCCTACATACCAAGGAAGTGCAGAATAAACGAGTTCCATTCCTAGCTGCTCCATCCCTTATAGCTTCCTGGCTAGTAAAGTGTTTTTGGGGGGGTTACTCCCTGGAAGCCATCCTACCAGGGCAGAACTTGTCCCAGGCTCAGTCTCCCTCTGCACATTGCTGTGACCTCTCTGGCAGAGTGTCATAGACCCCTAGGAGCAGAAGGATGAGTCTCAAGGTCACCGGAAGCCTCTGTCCCTCACCTGGCCTCCCACCATCCATGGACACTGACTGAGACTCACATTGGCTTTCAGTATCTGCAGGTTGGTGGAGGGCTCAAAATGTGGGGAAAAAAGACCTCATAAGAAGCGGGGTACAGTGGCTCATACCTGTACTCCCAGCTACTGGGGAGGCAGAGATCAGGAGGATCATAGTTAGAGGTTAGCTGAGCAAAAAGTGAGTGAGATTTCACCTCAACCAATAGAAGCTGGGTGTGGTGCTGAGCACCTGTCATCCTGGAAAGCATAAAGAGGAGGATGGTGGTCCAGCTGGCCTGAGCATAAATGTAAGACCCCATCTCAAAAATAACCGAAGCAAACAGGACTGGAGACGTGGCTCAAGGGGTACAGCACCCATCTCATAAGCACAAGGCCCTGAGTTCAAACCCCAGCACTACTAAAAAAAAAAAAAAGAGGAGGATCATTTTGTAGGGAAAAAGACAGAGTTTCAAGAGATCTGATGCTGCTTCTTCCTCTGTAAAATAAGGATAGGAGCCAAGAGGACCCCAACCTTCTAGGGGCCTGTGATCACCTGTCACATGAGATGATGTTGACAGCCCCTGCTTTGGATCAGGAAGACTCAAGTTCAAATTCTGGATTCTACCCTTTCCTATCCTTAAACCTTTGAGCAAGTTATTTCTCTTCTTTGAGTCTCATCTGTAGACAGAAATTATCATAATATCTACTTAATAACATCGTAGCTACCATTAATGGAACACTTAGTACATGCAAAGTATGGCTCCATTATCTCCCTGAGCTCAGATACTATTATTCTCACTTTGCATATGAAGAAACTGAGGCACAAGTCAATCCCACCCTTTACTGGCAGAGCCAAGATTCCAGCATAGGTGGTGCAGTTCCAGCACTAAGCCCTTGGTGGGGTGCCTGGCACATCGTAAGTACAGATATCCCTCAACTTACAACAGGGTGATGTCCTGATAACCTCACTGTAAGTCAAAATACTGTAAGTCGAAAACGTCTTTGAGCTGGCCACGGTGACATGTGACTGTCGTCCCAGCACTCAGGCAGACTGAGGCAGGAGGATCAATTCAGTCCAGGAATTTGGGATCAGCCTGAACAACATAGCGAGACTTCATCTCAAAACAAAAGAAAAGAAAATGCACTGAATACCCCTGAAAACTCATTGTAAAGCTGAAAAACCCTAAGTCAAACTTTTACACCGGGGTCCATCTGCACTCCATACAAGGCACCTGTGCCCCCCGCAGGTGCAGGCTTTCCGTTGGAAACACCTGTTCTCCACCTGCACCATGAAGGCTGGCAGAGGTCTAGTCCTCTGACATGTGGGGTCAGTCCCTCTGGACTCAATTCTTACTGATTCCTGGCCCTCAGGGCAGTGGCCACAGTGCTACCGAGAGAACTAACCTGAAGTCAGGATGCCAGTCTTCACCCGGACAAGGCCCTGAGTGGCTGTGTGACCACTCCAAGTCCATCAGATGAGTGGGCTGCCTCATCTGGAAAACAGGGTGTGCAGCCCCATCCTGCGGGGACGAGATGTGATGATGGACGGGGGCGTCATGCCCTCCACAAACTTCTGAACTCCACTGCCATTGTTACAGTCTCCAAGCACTGGGGACTTACTCTGGTAGGGTCTGGTCATGGGCCATTCCGCAGGTCCCTCCTGCCATCCAGGCAGGCTCTGGGTGGGACGTGAGGAGTGGGCCCACTTCATCAAGTCTGTGATGATGGATGCATCTTCGCCAAATGGCTAAGGGGAGGCCTGGCCTCTCCGCAGAAGCTGCTTCTGGGCGGTGCCCAACTGGGCCATTTAATAGAGATGTTTGTTTAACCAGGAAATGAACTCTGAGGTTGACAGCCGTGGCCAGGGACAGACTTCTGGGAACAGGGTTCCTCCCAAGAGCATGGGGTGGGGGTGCCAGGACCTGCGCTATCACACTTCTCAGACCTCAGCTGTGGCTGTTGACATCAGGTGGCAGGCTGCCTGCCCCCTGCCCCAGGCTGTTCCCAGCAGGTGCTCAGTCCAGCGCTTCCTCCCCAGGCTCCAGTCAGAGTGGCTAGTCCAACACTTGGCTATTCTGGGACCAGGAAAGGCTGGAGGGGGCAGTCTTTCCTCCAGGGGACCTCAGGCTTAAACTGGGTCCCAGAAGAGTCAGGAGTGCTGGTCCTACCTCCATTGTCTCAGTTTTCCCAACTGTAAAACAGGAGTGCTTCTAGAACTCAGCTCCCCAAATGTGGTCTGAGACTTCTGGAGTTCAGGAAAGTCCTCCCTTTCCCAGCTATGTGTCTGCGGGAGCCTGGATACTCCTCACTAAAGTCGGCCTGGACAGTTCCACAGGGGTGAGCAGGAAAATCCAGCCATCTTCTGTTCAGCCAGACATGAAGGATATTTGCAAAAATGTAAACACTAATACCACTTTTTGGCTTTTGCTTGTTTTATTTCTCATTAAAATATGCTATTCATCTTAAGAGGTAATGGGTTTTTGCTATCTTTAAATGAATTAGAAGACAGCAGTTTAAATGAATTAGGGAAAGTTTGCTTAGGCTGACTTTCTAACATGGGAAACATTGGCAAGATATGACTCTTCGCAACACCAACCCTTTGGGCCTTCAGGCATTTCCAAGAGGGAAGAGGGGCCTGACACCATGAGAGTTCTGCTTGTCAGGCTGTCCCTACTCCCCGGCTGGCAGAGGACATTGATGGAAAAGCTCTTCCTGCCTGGTGCAGAGATACAGGGGGTGAGGAAGATGTCCATGCATTCTGATACAGGCCAGGGACATGAAGACCAGTGGAACAGAATAGAGGACCCAGATATGAAGCCACACAACTATAAGCAACTTATCTTTGACAAAGGAGCTAAAAATATACGATGGAGAAATAGCAGCCTCTTCAACAAAAAGTGCTGGGAAAACTGGTTAGCAGTCTGCAAAAAACTGAAACTAGATCCATGTATATCACCCTATACCAAGATTAACTCAAAATGGATCAAGGATCTTAATATCAGACCACAAACTCTTAAGTTGATACAAGAAAGAGCAGGAAATACTCTGGAGTTAGTAGGTATAGGTAAGAACTTTCTCAATGAAACCCCAACAGCACAGCAACTAAGAGATAGCATAGATAAATGGGACCTCATAAAGCTAAAAAGCTTCTGTTCATCAAAAGAAATGGTCTCTAAACTGAAGAGAACACCCACAGAG